TTTACATTATAATCATTATTGAGCATTAGTCGTATATTTGTGAGAACTAAGCCAGCGAAAAAAACCAAAACATAAATACCTGTAAGGTTCACTATAACAGCCGTGCCTTTTTTTCCCATTTTTCGACCCTGTTATATAACCGTGGTTGCGCTAATCTATGATTTTTACAAGCCTAACGGCACTAGGGACCTCTGCTAAATCTATGTATTTTACAGGTTACAGCATCCACCACCTTAACGTCGTATGGGCCTATGCGCCCGTCCGCGCCCCCCACCTCTAATGCGGCGGGCCCAGCAGGGAAAAGGCTGGAGGCCCGGGAAAAGATGTGAGACAGGTATGCGCGCAAAGTAAAAGTGGACCGAGAGCTGGCTACCGAGAGACAGAACGAGAGCAAGGACAGACAGACATTACGAGAGCGGCAGAATAGTTGTGGATGTCCGCGACGTGACCACTGGCTTGAAAACCACGTGCCTGCTAGATCACTGCGGTACGTCGCGGAGCGCACCGTTAAGTTTGAAGTGAAAAGTTTGTGTGTCTGAAACTGCGATGTGATACAGTACAGTTACCACAGCACAGTACATGTTCTGTAGCTACGTATTGCCTAAATGGTAACACTTGAATGACGTTATGCAACTTGTTTGTTGAAATGTAATAAATGGAGCTCCTCAACAGCCCATCTCGTTTCCCGGAAATCCCCTCTGGCACGAACCCTTACATATGGTAATTAACATTAAAACACCTGCGGCTTATAGTCCTAGTGCCGCGCTTATATATGTACACATCATTCAATTTAGCTGCCCTGCGGCTTATATAAGGTGCCCGCCTTATAGTCCGAAAAATTACCGTAATAATAAAAAACGTAGTATATAAATAAATCGACTTTTAAAAATAATTTTCGATTATGGGGACTGTCACGAATAATTCGCTGGCATCCCTACTTCAGTGAAAATAGTCAAACTGCTATTATAAAGTGAAGAGACGCCTAAGTTTAAGCGAACTCCTCCTTGGCCAGTCCATGCAGTCCTCAGACATCAGGGCGCTGGGCACCTCCTCTTTACAGTTTCTGTGTCGCCCTCATGCCACCATGCCTCAATCCTCCCGATTAACGCCAGAAGAGCTCAGCACGCCCTGCGGACTACGCCTGTCACACCCTCAGCCACTCAGGTCTCTGCGCATGCCAGCCGCTCTCATCGCCACGACTGCCATCTGGCATTTCAGGCGCCACACATAATACTGAGGCTACACCCACCAGGCTCCCGTGACAGATTAGTATTATCACCTCTAAACCCACATTCATTTCAAATAGTGCCCTTTGGACTTAACTTTAGGCCCTTGCAAATCAAAAAACCCGGCTGGTAACCTGAATGTGTGGAAAGCCCGACTTTTTAAAAGCTGAAGATACCCCCAGGTTTTTGTTTTTGCTCAATGAGTGTATTATGACATAACGATAAAACAGCATCCCCCTCATCAAATCAAAAAACTTTAAAAAGGCGTTAAAAAAATATAAGATATGTTATGCATGGCTCACAGAATATGGCCGACCACCATTGTCATTTTTCCTCCGTTTACCCCTGGGTGTTTCTCAATGTCGAGGAAGGCTGCTCCAGAGCCACTATTTCAAGCATACTACGTCATCGAGTGCCGCCGAAGGACTGTTCCAATGTCCAGCATACTTGGAATTCTACCGAGGCCGGCGTACTTCGTAGCGGGAAATTTCAAGGCTGCACATCTGTAGACTCCGCGGTCTTAAAATCCCCACAATGCTTTGCGCACGGACCAATTTCCAAATCTTTGGCGGAAATCGTGCTTCATTTAAGGCCGGGCCTCGCATATGACGCACACCTGTTAGCCTGTTCCGCAATTCTTCGTTTTCCGAGGCTAGGAAGGATTCTAGCCTCGCTTCTGAAGCAAGTGACTCGGAAGACATGTGCTACCAAGCAAGTGTCCTCGACATTGAGAAACACCCCCTTCACCCTCCGCTCTTGGCCTCTGTGGACAGGAAGCTCCATATTGGGTCATACATAAGTCCTAATCGAGAAACTTGTCACCTCCACCCTCCTCTAATCGGTTTATCCATCTGGCCCTCACTCCGAACAAGAGACAATACTCGACAGGTTGAGCCGGTCATGTTAGGCGTTGCCAGGGTGTTGGCACGAGTGTGTGTGGCACTAAATAACATCAGCCTGCTAGGTGGCTGAGATCAGCCATACCTGTCTGTTATCAATGATCACTACGAGGAATTTTCTAGTAACATTCTTCCCCTGTCTGTGTTGCTAGCTAAGAGTTTATTTGCTCCTTAGGAGGTGAGAGCTTGACAATAATGTCATCCATAAAAAATGTAAAGGACATATTTAAACGAAAGTTAAACTGTGTTAACATTACTTCAGTTATTTAATGATTACATTTACAGTAACACAACATGGCCTTTTTCTTTGAATATGAACATAGTATGCCCTGTAGACATCCGAGTCGTGTAGTGACACAGGCCTATTGTATGACTTTGTTAATGAAAGAAAGGTGAAGTGAAGAACAATCCTGTCATTCACAAAGATTTGAACCATGAAACTCCAGAGAGCGAGTGCTGTTGTGTGCAGGAATGTTTCGGCAGGCTGTCGGGCCACATACCTGTGCCTCTCCCCCAGATTGCCACAGTCACATCTCTTCCAAAACTCTCTTTGTATCAAACCAATATGACTTTTAAACAGATGAGATATTTGTGTTTGCATGATTTAAATTCATCAGTGCAGGTGTATCTTTTAAACGGGTGAAAAGTGTTGAGAGTCCATCAAATTCACAAATTGAGGCAAATGTCTCCATCACGCAAAATGGTATGTGTAACCTGTTAGACTAAGGGAAACATTTCACCTTGTAAATACCTTTTAGGCTATATTTGGTAGTAAAGAAAAAGTAACATGTTTCCTTCTCAAGCGCACAAAGAGGACTTCAAACTTAAGTCTCTCCCCCTCCCAAATTCTTCTCTGGTGAAACTGTATACATAGTTTCATGACTTGTATTTCGTCCTTATATCTTTCTACACCTTTAGTCCTTTCACAACTGTAACATAATTGCAACAAGGCTGCATGCATATAATAATAATACGTTTTATTTAAGGCGCCTTTCATGACACCCAAGGACACCGTACAATTTGATAAATATTCTAATAGGTAAAAGCAACAGAACATGATAAAAACACCAACATACCATCATGGAGGAGATAATTAAAGTGGACACAAATCATAGGGACAGGTTATTCAGGGAAAACAGATGATGGGGAGCACTACAGTGAGTAAGCTGATCTGATCAGGTGGGTTTTGAGATGGGACTTGAATGTAGTGATTGTGTCCGACTGTCAGATGTGAAGGGGGAGAGAGATATGTGATACACAGCCTCAAAATTCCCTTTTCAATCTAAATGACTGTTTATGTTGTGCAGACGGCTAGCGAAGAGACCAAAGAGCATCTGTACGAGACGCTGCTGGCCGAGTGCAGAGACACCATCCAGGCTGTGAGGGAGGAACTCAAGAGTGAGGCGGTAAGATACGAAGGGATAAACATTTAAAATATTTCAAGGATTGTGAGGAATTTGAGTTGTTATTATTGACCTTCATTTTTGCTTAGAAATCATAAACATCTGCCTAATTACAGTTTACCAACAAACCTGCCATTTAAACAAACATTTTCAAAGTGTTTCACATTTTATTGCTTGTCTTTGTAGAAGCAACGAGAGAGGAGCTCAGATGGTGACAGCGGCAAGGTGTCCAACCTGCAGTTCCTGCACAGGTAAAAGAAACACATCAACTTTAGTCCATACAATAACTAGGGCTTGCAAATGCCCGGTCAGACTTCTAAGTCTTGTGAAAAACTAGTAAAAATAAAGTAAATGGCCTGTTCATGTTACTTTTCTGTTAGGTCAATGATCAATAACCGTATATTGCAACAACAAAAAAAGCTCATATCCAGGCCTAAGCATAAATACTTTTTTCCACCCTCTGATATTTCTCTATTCCATTTATCTCTTATTTAAGTGAATAATAAATGTGCTGTTGGTGTCTTCTCCCAGTTACCTGACCTACATCAAGCTGTGCACGCTGGTGAAGAGGAATGAGAGCATGGCCCACACTCTGCAGGCCAAACTGAAGGAGCCTGAAGCCGACGAGGACAAGAGAGGACCCCGCCCACAAGACCTGATCCGCCTCTACGACATCATCCTGCAGGTAAAGTCTCAACATGAAATGTATCTTAAATTAATTTATTGAATGAACATAAATACATTATATAAAATGAATATGAGCAGCTGATGACTGTTAACTGGCTTTTACATTTATTTATTTTATTATTATTTTTTGATGCAGTCACTATTTCTATTTTATTATGTCTGTATCCCTCATTTTGTTTTTGGAGATTTGAAATAAAGATAATGCTGCATGTTTTAAAGTTGGTATAATTGGTTCTTAGTTGCCAGTTTCTCTGTACCAGGCAGTAGCTGGGACTGTGAGGAGTTGATGTGTGTAGTTTATCTTAACCCACAGTCTCAGACACTTCCTTCTCAGAGCATATCTCACCTTCCGTTTTCTCCGTGTCCTCTCTCTGCCTCTCCCCCCACTCCCCCCTCTCTAACCTTCCCTGTCCGTCTGTCTCTCCAGAGTCTGGCTGAGCTGTCCACCCTGCAGGGCCTGGAGGATGACCACACCTTCCAGAAGGAGGTGTCCCTGAAGACGCTCGTCTACAAGGCCTACAGGTCAGAATAAACGTTCTTTTGCCACTTTTAGATTGTGAGTGAGGCAGTACTGGTAAATGGTCAATGCTCCCATATTTTACCAGTACATCTTTCCATTGACGTGTCCGACTGACAAGTGATGTTTTTCGCCCATATTTATTGACAAATTATTGATAATTTCAGCTTACAAAAGGCAGAACTCATTCGCAAATTGTCCGTGTCCGCCATTGTCGTTTGCGACCGCTTTTACATTTCCTTCTTTGTCATGTGTGATTAGGGATGGGTACCGAGCCCCGGTATTAAACGGGCCCCGGGGCGGAATTATTGAAGACAGTGGTACCGTTAAGATCTGACGTTATCTGTCTTTTTATCGGTACTGGAGACATTTAAAAAATATGTCATATGTATTATTGCTACATAAACATTATATTGCAGTTTTTGTTCCGCCAACTACGTTTCTGATATGCAATAAGACTACAAAATGCGTCGTCTGTATTTTTCCAATCCAGACGAGAGATTTCTCTCCCCCGTCTGTGTGTGAGGGGGCGGGGCAGTTTACACACACACGGCTGCTACATGCATGCAACACACACGCACACACGGCAGAGATGGCGGAGAGAAAGTGCTCCAAAGTGTGGTTAAACTTTACCTGTCTCGATGTGGACAATGCTCGTTGCCAAAAGTGCAACACGAGCAATTTGTCTAAACAACACATTATCTCCCGTAATCTTCCACCATAACTTCAATCTTCCTCCAGAAGAACCGTTAGGCCTTATGCAGCATTTGCAGTAAATACTTATTTTTTTTACAATTCTGTAAGTTCACATTATTTACAATTTTGTTTTGTTAATTTACCTTTTTTTTTTTTTTAAGAACCGATTAGAGTACCGTTAAAGGACCGGATCGATAAGCAGTAACGATAAAAGTATTAGTATCTTTAAAACGATACCCATCCCTATGTGTGATGCAGTCAAATCGTACCGCTCACTTACGTTAGCGGTGTCGTAAAACCGTGGGGAAATGTAAAATACGATGCCGAAGAAGATGATTCTAGTGGCCCCAAGAGGAAGATTCTTGTATAGCATGTTTCTTGCCAAATATGATCAAATAAACAATAAAAGGTTACCTTAGTTACAGTTACCCAGATTCTTCTATGCTTTATGTTTATATTTAATAATATTTAAAATAGGTGCAGCATGCACAAAGTATAGCTATGGACAATAAGTAAATTACCAAACTCACTTGTCCATGGTGAAGTACCCTCTAAAAACGTTTTCTCACTCTGTATCCTTCCCTCTGTTCCCCTCACAGGTGCTTCTTCATAGCTCAGTCCTATGTGCTGGTGAAGAAGTGGAGCGAGGCCCTGGTGCTGTATGAGAGGGTGCTGAAATACGCCATGGAGGTCCAATCTAAGGCCAAGAGCCTCAACAACAGCCTCAAGGTTGGTCTGAAAAAGAAATACTCTTAATACCGAATATAATTTAATCTACAACGAATCATGTAGACATCCCCCTTAAACATGTGTTGATATTAACACATATAACAATAAAAAGTCAAAATCCAAACGTATTTCTCAGCTTTTGAAACTGACCCGAAAACCTGCAGGTAAATAAGTCTCTGAACATTTAACCACATCTGTACTCTAACAGAAACATCTGTTGTGTCTCTGCAGGATCTCCCTGATGTTCAGGAGCTCATTGCCGAGGTCAACGCTGAGAAATACTCCCTTCAAGCTGCTGCTATTTTAGGTGAGAGCAACAAACTGTTGCCTAGCGAACTCATTTACTTCAACCTTATGAGAACACACTCCTCTCTTTGTTGTTTGTGCAAACCTTTTGGAAATGTTTGCGTTTCAGACACCGAAGAGACTGCTGAAGTTCCCGCCAAGCAGCAGGTCAAAGACAACACGGTAAGAGAACAAGACCAACACACAGGGAGGAAATAGAATCCTGCCTGTATGTCCGTGTGAGAAATTATCGATCAGTGTTTAGCTCGCGGGGAAAAATATCATCTTCCATTGTAACTAGCACCAAAAATAGTGCAAAAGAACATAACCTTTTTGGTTACGGCCCCTCAAACTGGTTAATATTGTGTTAGACCCGCCCTCCGAGGACTTAATTTGACCATGACTAAACCTTTCAATAGTCTCTCATAAATGTTTTGATACATTTGCAGTTATCCTATGATGTAAGCATCACTTTTTTCACTCCTTTCTCCGTCATGCAGCCCCTCTGCAACCGCCTGGAAACCTTCCGCCTGGACCCTGCCCTCGTAGGAAAGCAGCCCAACTTGGTCCAGTTCCCTCCCGACTTCCAGCCAATCCCCTGCAAGCCCCTGTTCTTTGACCTCGCTCTCAACCATGTGGCCTTCCCTCCCCTGGATGACAAGGTGGAGCAGAAGGGAAAGGGCGGCCTCACCGGCTACATCAAAGGCATCTTTGGCTTCGGCAGCTAAATGTATCGCCCGGCTGTGGTTTCCACAGGAGAGCCACACGGTCCCCGAGTTCACCACAGAACAACCAGACTTGGGTCTGTTGTTAATTCGAGTCATTTAAATTCATTTTAAGTCTGATGATGAGTGCCTGAGTGCAAGACGGGTGGAGTTTGCAGTTCTGAGGAATGGAGAGTGAGTTTGACCTACTTAAAGAAAGTTAATCGAATCAACTTCAAGTAGCAATATGACCCAAGTTCACCTACTACCCTCAGTAATAACACCCGGCTGCAGTGAACAGGCTGAATGTGAGCCGCGGAGGTGTCTGTCACCTTCAGGTTCTACAGGTTACGAGCCGTGGTCTCTCAGTACAGCCAAGATGTACCATCCTGTCAGAGTAAACTCAGCCACTTGGGGATCATTAGTAGTTATTCTTTTCTTTTTAATCTTTACGTAAGCGCCTTCATGTAATTACATTTTTTTTTCTTTGTGAAAGATGTTTTCAGCATCTTTTCTTAAATATAAAATGTACAATGTGCTGTTTTGTTATGGCAGCTACTTTGACTCAAAAAAAGTAGGGGGCTTAAAATACTCTTAATATCCTGCGACATGTTGTTTGACAAACTGAGGCTTTTTTATCAATCGCAATAGTTCAGACTATAGACTTCAGCTGCCTCCCATTTCTTCCCTCCACCTTCGCCCTGGTCTCACCTGCTTTGTGCACCAAGAAACCTGTATGTGTTTGAAAACTGCACCTCATTTACTCACTTAGTGAGTCAAGTACAAGGAAGTTTCAAGTGCATCAACAGGAGGATGAAGACATGAACCAAGGTGTGAAATGTGTTTGTTAAATGCTGAATGTTTGAGTGTTTTAATTGGTCAGCTACATGTTGTCCTGTCACATTGGACACTAAACCTGCTGTCCTGGAAGAAGGGTCCAATGGCTTCAGTCTGCTAGATGGAAGCACAAGCTGCGATTTTTTTTTTTTAACACCCCTCAGTGTCTCAAGTTTTCTACATAAGGGTCTCCAGGCTCTTCACACTATCATGAACATTTGTATTTGCATTTCAGCTAAATCAATTGAATAGAACAGCAGTCAGCATTAAGGAGTGAAGGGAGTATTTAGCAGCCTTTCACATATCACACCACCATGTCTTTGGATAAACTGTGACTATAAAACACTTTTGTTACTCCTTGTTTGCCAGTCACTATGTCCACATTATTTCCTCTGATCCTTAAGGGACCGATCCACCGGGTTAAACACTAGCTGGAGAATTGTTTCAGTGTCACTCTCCCACCCCAAAAAATTATACTGTTTTGATTACTCATTGTTATCAATGTCTTTGGTTTTCATTTTTTTTTTTCTTTAAATGTTTTATGTTAAATAATTGAGTCGGTCGTGCTGGAATAGCTCCAGCACTTTACCGCGATCGGCCTGGAAAAAAACAAGATAGTTATTTGTTGTAAACACAAGTGGAAAGAGAAATGAACTGATAAGAATGTATGATTTGATTACTTTTCCAGGTTGATTATTAAAATATATTTGCGCCAAATGCTGATTTCTTGTTTTATTTATTTCTTGTATTGAAAATTCTGTGACATTTGGATGACCATGATGGAGGAGAAAACAGTTGTTCGAAGTCCCTTGCACCTTTGTTTTGGGTGTGTTAGGAGTGCGAGGGATGCCTCAGCAGGGTGTGAACGTTTTCCAATTTATTTTGCGTTTATGCATTTCTATATTGGTTACGTAGGTGTGTTTATTACTGTGAGTATAATCACCAACCATGCTAATAACCGTGTGTCCCTACATATCAGTTAAGTGTATTTCAACTTTTTGATCACAAACAAGCCTTTTCTACCTGATAGATGCCTGTCATCACTTTCCTATACACACACACACACACACACCATTGTCGCTACAGAAACACGCAGAAATGCAACCTGCATGGATGGAATGAAGGCATTTGAGGAGGTGGAGATAAATGTTTATCTGCAGGAAGAAACCTCTAACAGTTTTAAGTTTCAATTAATCAGCTCTTTCACACTGCTTTTACACGTTTTTCAGTTTATTCACACCTTAATTAAATGTCAGATGAATAGATGAAAGACACAGAACCTAATATTTTCACACATCAGTAAAATATGTTAGTTTATATTATATTTACATATTTCCGTCACGTAGATAGTCAGTACTGTGTAATTTGAGTCCAAGGTACAGTACAAGCATCAAAGCTTCTTGGATTGACTCTGTAAACCAAACAACCATGCTGTGTTTGTGCGCTGTGTGTAGTTAAGTGTACGAGGCGGACACACCCTCACCTTTGTTGTTTACTCTCAGTTCAACTGAAGTCATGCACATAATTCACTGCCATGTTTGATGTTGCCTTGTTAACGATCAAAATGAACTTTTGGCTCAGATAATGATGTCGCCCTCAAGTTGATTATCCTGACTTCCAATGTAGCAGCATTATCGAGTCAAGATACTAACTTGTCGAATACTTTCATTACATATATTTTTTTTAAACGTAAAGGTGTGTATGATTAGTGGCAATCCGTGAAGGCAGAACCACTTAACCCCTTTCCGAAGCGTCTCGGAGAATCACAAAATAATGGAAAATCTGAAAAGTCCCACTTGAGCGCAATTATCTTTAAACATTCAAACCAACACATTTTTTAAAGTGTAATTAACCAACCTTAATTTGCAAAGTATAGTAGTACCATGGTGAACAGTCTGCTAATCATCAGCATGTTAGTATTTTTATCGTGATCATGCCATCATGCTGATTTTAGCAATTAGCAAATTCCTGTTGCCATGTGATTCTTATTGCTCTTAGTTACATTCCTGAGGGTACAGAGGGGTTATTTTAACAAACATAACGGAAATAATTTAAACTTTAAGCTGATACACAAGACAATTTCAATGTTCACAACGACATTTCATTTGAGACAGGGGTCGACGATGGTATCATACAAATAATCTCTTTGCTGCTTTTGAGCTTTTGATCATAACAAGATGGAGTTGTCAGGTAATTGTAGATTTTCTAATTTCCTTTTATCCCTTTATTGCCCAAGTTGGCTTAACATTTACAGTTTATTTTCACATTGGCAGCAGTTGATAAAACATTCGCACCTCATTAACTAGCTGGTATTGAGCTTTTGTTTTGTAAATAATTAGGATTATATCTGGCCTGTATATGGACAAGAGGTCCTTAAAGGCGACAGAACATTTACCTATAATCCAATAATATTTGGGAAATCTCTAAATGTTGAGGAAGATATGCTTCAATCACTAGCTCAAGAAAAGCTACGAAATGGACCTTGTGACGATTATTTATGTCACCCAATTTCTGTTTTGGTAATTAAACAGGGAGTATCTTCTCCCAGGTCTTGCCCCAAATCAGAAAACATATTTATTATAACAAGCCGTTTGTGTTTTATTTATTCGCTAAAAATGGGTCCACATATCTTAGCAACAGTATCTGTTTTTACTGACAGGTGGGCGCACCCCATCAGAAATGTGTCCTCTGTGTTGTTTCTCTCTCTGTGAGGGAAGCTGTCCGGCTGCATTCCTCGCCGCCATGATTTTCTTTTGTTGATATGCTCTGGAGAGACGCCCTGATCCTGAATGACTCGTGTGTCTATAGATATTACACATGGGTCTTAGCAAAGTATGGAGACGTCTTTTCTCTTTAACATTGCTATAACATGTGTTTCAATATGGAGGTATTACGTAATGAACTTCCTGTCTAGCCCACAAGTTGTCAGACACCTTTCCATTGTTGACTGTATACATTGTGTTAGGAGCTCAGAGAGTATCTGTCCGGGTCTTAACCATCTCATTGACTTCAAATTATAACAGGTTGACATTACTGTCTGCTGTTTAAGACATTATTTAAGATTACAAATAACTTACACTTGATGGAAGGAGTGATGGGAATCTGTATGGTGATTTAAAAATAAATATGGTATTTGTTGCAAGGGGTGTTTCTCGTCACCACACCCTACAGCTCTTTCTTTCTCTTTGAATAATTTAATTTTAGATGTAACCAATTGTTAAAGTTGGGAGCAAATCAGAGAAAGTGCTGCTATTATGGAGTTGAAAAGATGAAGCAATTTTTTTAAATCATATTTTTATCCAGAATCTGATTTTTGCATGACAAATTAAATGTATCACCCTGTATTACATTTCTGTAGCAAATGTACCGATGGTATGAGAAGACATATTCCTCTCATACCATTGGTTGAATCAGAGGTATGCTCAGTGGTTAAGAAAGTATTCAGATCCTTTATCTAAGTATAATTATTTATAATACTCCATTACTGTACATGTAAAAATCCTGTATTGGAAAATCAGGAAAATGTACTGTATTAAAAACTTGACGTTTGAATACTAATAATACTCATTGCAGAAAATATAAATTATTAAAACAACTAAATGAAATGAAAAACAGCAAATATGTGATAAGCTACAACTATAACATGATTTTACACCAACAAAATTGGTAAACTGTTAATTTGTACTTAAATGCATTATAGTTAGTTACTTCCTACCACTCGATATGATAATATGGAGTTGCAAATTGGTGCATGTGATACCTTTATGACATAGTGACTGTAAATAGATGACATGCAACAAAGTGATCCCTAGATTGTCAACACACACCAATACAGTTTGTCACTCCGCCAGATTTGGAACAACTTGATTATCAAAGATCAGTCTGTTTACTTGTGAGTAACATTTGTATAAATAAAGTTTTATTCAACACCCTACAGGAATTCAGTGTCCCTCCAGCGCCATGAATTATGCATCTCTGTTGACTGAAGCCCCACTCCCTGTGAGAGATTGTGATGAAAAGGAAGGGCAGGGCCGAGGATGGGAGGAAGGGAGAGAGCAGGAAACAGGTCCGTCCGGTCCGCTCTCTGCAGGTGGATGTCAGGGCGGTGACACACCTTCGAGTTAACCTGTGTGGGAGGAGCTGCCGGAGTCAAACAATGTGCTGACGTGAGTGTGTGTTTGAGAGGAACCAAAGGGAGAGGAGACAGCGAGTGGGAGCCACAGGGTGAGGAACAGAGACCAAGAAGGAGTGAGAGAGAGAGAAAGGACAAAACGTTTTTTTCTGTGCCTGACCCACCATGACCTCCAGGATGTTTAAGAAAAAGGAATCTAAGGACAGTTTGCTCAAGAGCAGCAAGTAAGTAAACCCCTTAATGTATGCAATGCACATAAGATTGTGTAAGTGAGCGTGTATCTTGAACATGTCACAGAGAACTGTGTGATGTTTCCTGGTCCTCTTTTTCCTGGTGTTGTGGTTCCCCTCCTGTTACAGTGTGGTTGAAAAGGTTTGTTCAGGCAGTTAACTGACTTAAAGTGCTGAGTTATGTGAAGGTTAATCCTCTGTGATGGTGAAGGCTTTACAAGGTGTTACCAGCTGTTAACAGAGCCTTGAGGTCAGGTTTACTTTGTCAAAACATGAGGCGGGAAAGTGTGCTAAAGACATGAGTCAAACTAATAAAAATGTGTTTAATGAAGCAGGTGAAAGTCAAAGAGATTTAGAGTTGTGACGGCTCGCAAAACATTGTTATTGGTGATCACGTTTCAATGAGAAAACCTATCCTCTGAGAAGTGTTTGATCTGGCTGTTCTGTGTCCTGTCAGGCATGGCTGCTGTTCAAAATGTAGAAATATGTGTCACTAATAAACCACATGTTGCGGAACACTTTCTAAATGTGGGGGATGGAGGCAGAAGGCTGCAACTTAAAAACATAAAGAAAAGTATTTTAAAACCTTAATTTGACGAGGAATATATTGACAGTTAAGAGCAAAATTATCATTAATAATACATGACACTTGTATAGCGCTTTTCTAGAAACTCAAAGAAAACTCTAGAAACTTCATTGTCTTTATGTAAATCACTGCAGGTAAAAAGGGATAATGAGCTGGCTTCACTCTGTCCAGTACTCATTTAAGTTATGTGGAGTGTTCATTTTGTGTTTGTACTCTTACCTTTACATGACTTAATGTGATTTATTTGACATAACAGCTTTCAATCCTCATTTAAACACACTAGCTAACAGAGAGCACCTGGAGACACATTCATCTGCTGAAACTATTCACAGTTTCCCACATTGTCCGTGTCAGATGTCACAGACCTGACAGGTTTCTCAGGGTGGAGGTGACCTGATGGTTTCACCTTCTCACTGCCTGGGACATGTTCTGTGAGGTGTGAGGAGGACAGGGCGGGCCGCTGCTCCGCTGGTGTCTTTCTCTCATGTGGGCGTTGGTTCCCAACTGTACTTTACAGTGACAGGACATTAAGGAGGTTTCCATCACCAATTAAATCAATAGAGGCACCGTAAATAAGGGCTGCAACTTATGTCACAATATTGATTCATTTTTGGATTAGTCTTTCAAACTATTGATCAATATTTTGCTTATAATATTTCAGAAAATTAAGAAAACCATGTCTCATAACCCAACGTTTTAAGATCAACTAGCAAATATTTAACTTTTTTTTACTAATACTTGGTTTTAATGTTTTACACCAGTAGCAGTT